GCGTTTGTCCTCTGATGCTATATTGGATGCTGCGTAAAACAGAAGTCTGGCACTACTAACAAAGCATTTGGTCAATTGGAGATGGTGACGAAAAACAAAAACATTCTGCATTTCCATTCATCATCGTCCAATTCAAGTAGAGGTAGTTGATACAGCATGAACATTGGGTCCCTATTGGGCAAGTAATATTTTAGTGGGGGAAACTGAAAACTGAAATGTATTTGCCCACAGGGCAACTGAATTTCAATTTTTTTTTGCCAGCCCTGTATGAGCAAAGGAGTAGGAAGCAAAACACATTGCACAAACCAAGAACTATCCCAGGGGAACCAAATGCTTCAAACAAGTGAACTTACACACGAAAAAGGACATTCTCATCCAAACCTGGAAACTTGTGAACTTTTTTTCACAAATGGGAAAACACTTGTTGCAGAAAAATGCTCCTAAACAATTTCAAATGCAGATTTCACGTCATGAGAAGTAATTATGCTTATGTGCAACATATGGGAGTGGGGCAAAAAAGAGTACCCTGAATTTCAGGTGTCTCCTCAAGCAGGTCACACATTTTTGGGAGAGTGCAACTGGAGGAGATGGCTAATACATGTAATGTTTTGTGTAGCATCCTCTAGCCAATCAGAACAAAGATGACGCAGATATAGAGTGTGTGTTTTCGCGGTGTCCACTGGTTGTACGGTTTACACTTCGAGCTCTTATTAATTTGTTGTTCTATCATGGTTTTAAAGCCTTACAACAGTAAAGGAAAAGTCACTCTGTTTTGGAGAAGAAAACTCACCTAGTGCTGGTATGAGATGTGACTGCCCAAGTTGTGAGGTTTTCACACGTGTGGTCATCTGATTCATAAAAACCACCTGAAAAAGAAGAGAAAGAAGAAATTGTAAGAGAAGGAGAAAAAAGAAGAAACTGTGAGAACCTGTTACCAAGCGTGCTCAGACACACCAGCACCTTGTGTTTATAAAGACCAAGAGACTCAGCATGAAGGTCTTGTTCCCAAGGTAATCACTCTCAAGTTATTTTCAGGTCATAAACAGTTGGCAGAAATCTCAGGGGGACCTTGAAATAACCAATCAAACTCAGTCAAAACAATTCTGGCAGTTGTCACATCAAAATTCCAAGGGACTG